CGGTCCGAGCGATGAAGGGCGCAGAAAGGACCTCGATCTGCAGTGGGAGCCGATCTGGCGGCATGATGTGCGCGCTGATATCGCCGATGCGGTGGGAATCTTGGTGAAGGGCGGCGCGTTCAGACGAGAGGAGAGGGCATTGTTATGAGATGGAAGTCATGTCATTATGCTAGATCGTGCTGTAGTATTCGTATCATGTTGAACGAGGCCAGGCCCACGTCGTACAAAGGGGGGCACGAAGAGCTATAGCCCTGCCTACTTGTTCGAAGCCGAATCACTATCGTACAACAAGTCGGTGCTCGAGAGCTCTCCGTCCGAGTTGAGCAGCGCCCAATCAGCCTCAATCCCATGAGACAGGTTTGCCACTTTCGCCCCGTGTCCACGCAGGAATGCGACGACCTCCTTCGCGCTACGCCATCCCGTCGGACCAGGCGTCGGCGCGACTGCATCGGGCGCGTCCTCGATAGGTGCATCGTCTACGGTGCTACCGTACGCACGGGCTAGATGTGCGGATGCGCGCACACGCACGGCCGGAGAGCGCTTGAGTGTACCGAAGAAAGCTGTGAGAGCAGATGCAGCTTCCGCGCGAGCGCGCAGAACGTGGCGCATCACACGGCCAGAGCGCGGGCGCCTGCGGCGTGATTTCACTGGTGGCTCGTGGGGCACGCCGCTATGCATCGTGCTCGTCGTCACTTCGACCTTCGGCGCTTCGGTTGGCGTGGAGGTACCCTTGTTGACCCATGGGTTGGGCGGGGGCTTGGGGGTTGTGGTGTACTGCTGTAGTGCGGTGATGAAGTATTCCCAGCGCTTCGGGGCCCAGATGCCCAAGAGGACGCGCCAGGTGGCCTGTATACGTCTCGCGCGCATGTACGCGTCTGAGAGTTGGGTCAGTGACGAAACGATGCCATGTGTGATGAACATACCCTTCACGAGCATAGTGTGATAGTATGCTGATAACGAGACAAGGCCCAGTGAGATCAAGGCACCGATGGGGGAGTAGTACAGGAATGCCCATAGAAGGACAAAAGCGGTGGGATAGGCCAGTAGAACGCAGAACAAGCCAAAGATCACCTTGTTCTGTGCCTGCGTCTCTTCCTCATCCTCGACCGAGCGGGCTCCCAGGCAACCCATGACGTATGCCGGAGCATGTATGAAGAGGGGCAGCACGAAGAATGGGAGTAGAGCGAGGCTGGATATAGTGTCGCGGATCAGAACGAGTAGGGTCTTAAGGCGACCGGGCAGAGGGACAGGGCGGCTCGGATCGAGGGTGCTGGGAAGGGGTAGCGACGCCAAAACAGCATTGGTGAGATATGTAGACTGCAGAAGAGCATAGTACTCGAGAAGAGCGCGCTTGACATTCTTGAAGTCGGTGGTAACGTCCGGCGTCGCAAACAAGTCGACCAAGCTGACAGATCCTTCAGTCAAGTCCGATCCGCTGATGGCGCAAGGGGACGTACGTTTGTGACACAGGGACGTAGTTCTCGAGGGCCAAGCTCGACTCGTCTGGCCAAAGGAGATCGCGTGCCATACGCGCCGCGTATAGTGTATCCCTAGCAGGCTTCAGTCTTGAATACGTATAATACAACGTCGCTCTTACCAGTCTGGAGCATTCAATGTCTTCTCAACAAGTTCAGCCTCGATCTTCTGTGTCAGCCTCTTAGCGGCTAGACGAGCTTGTCCTTCTTCCGGCGAGAGGAATTGCTCCATGTAAGGGTCCATTGAGATGGGGTTGCCATAGCTTGGGGCCATATTAGTGGGATATCCATCAGCTCGATGAGCGACTCACTGCACGATGACCTGCAGAGGGATGACTACGCTTGTGACAAATAATGGGCATTGCACTCACGGAACTACGGTACTTCGACTTGTTCGTGTAAACAATGGCAGAGGGCACGACTACAATAGGTAACTTGCTGGCCTTGTCCGGGTTCTCCTTCGCCCATTTCGCGTACTCAAGTGCGGCGTATGAGGCGCCGTCTTTGATCTGCATGATACGCGGTTCCGTATAGCTGGTGCCTTCCGGAAAGAGTCCCACAGAGGCCCCCTCGCTAGCGCGTCGAGGGTTCCCTTCAATAGCTGTCTCCGGTCCTTCGCTTTGCGGTCGACAGGGATGTTCCAAGTGCTGACAAGGATGTACCGAACGACAGGATTAACGGACAAGGTTGACTTGCTCCAGTAGTGTAGAATGCGTTGGTGCGGAAACGTCGATGCTAGCGCGGATGGCATCAGTATGAACCATCGAGACTGCGAACGAGGGCATACATAGAACTGCAGGGTCAAGCATCATGTTGTGATGAGTTGCTGTCCTGAAATAGCGATTAGTACGGAAGGCCCTCTGCTGAAGCGATAATGTAAGCGATGGAGTAGAGGGGTATGTAGGATCAGCAGCGGCCATTGCGGTGTTGCTAGCACACCACAAGGTCACAGTTCAGCCGCTTCTTATAACCTGTCCCCAAGTTAGTATTTGATACCGAGCGTAGTCACGTACGTATGAACACCGTACACAGATCCATATGTTTACACAATCCATCCGTGGTGTACTCGGCGAGCGAAGGTGGGAGGGCCTACCCGCAAATGTATTGAAGAGAGGCACAGGGTGGACTCGACATGACGGTGAGATTGTTATATGAGGTGCGCGCACGCTCTAGATGGGTATATGTCTCTTGGGCCCAGAATGGAAGAGATCCACCTGTCGTGTCAGCCAACGCTATGCCACTATTGATACAGCAAGCGGAGAGGGACGTGCCAGATCTAGTCAGATGGACTCCACCGAGTGGGCTTTCATATACAAGGCAGTTTCCAACCTCGAAAGTAATAGGTTCCGTTTAGATGATCTTGAACGGACGCGATACGGCTGTGTATGAGTAGAAGACGATAGTGCGACTCATGGCGTGTACAGCCGTGGAATGTCCTGAAGATTAGACCCGTCATATGAAGAAGGCGCTCAGTGGCCCAAACTGAGGTAGAGCGAGCCTGAGAGCCTGCCGCAGCGTTGTTCGTATCGAGTGGCGGCCTGGCGCGGCCTGCGAGTAAAGATGTTCAAGCTGCACAGACCATAGGCGGCGTTGGTCCGGCTTGGGAAACTTGGAAGAGGGCGCGGATGTAACGCTCACAAAGGGGCTCTCGCAGACACCTGCATGAGCACTCATCTGAGGTACACATAGAGTTCTCATTGCAGTATAGGTGTGAACCAAGCGCTCAGATGGTAACGTCGCTCAAGCGTGGGCCCGGGGCGAGCATCATGAGCGTCAAACGGCAAGCGTGATTTGCTTGTGCTCTGCGCTTGTCATCCGGGACGATGGTCAAGCATCCCGATACCCTCTCTCTCTCGGCGTTCTCCCTAGCTTCTGCAGTCATAGCCACAATATATCACTTACTCCCCTTGGCCGGGATATACAGCACAAGCAACACAGTATCAACCTCGAGAACGACCAGATGAATCGCCTCGCTTCGAACCCCGGCTCAATCCGTCGATCTTCCCCTCTCCCACTCCCGACGTCTCGCTACTAAGCGTACGGGCGCCTGCAACACATGCACATGCCACGGGCGGCTCTTCTTCGTCCTACGCCGCATCAACAACAAGCCCAAACATGATTGGCTAGATGTGGACCTACGGCCCGTCGGTGAAGGTGGAGTGTGGCCAGCGTCGCGCATACGGGAATTGGGAAGGGCGCAGTTGAGGGAGACGCGAAGAGGGCGAGGAGGACGCGGTTGCGCAGCGAGCGCGTAGGTCTGGCTCTTCTTGCCTGCCGTTCTGAAAGCCTTGCTGATCCAGACGCGCAGAACGGCATGCCAGAGATCATAGCCTGGAGTGTATAGTGAGGATGCGATTGCCCCACGGAATGAGGGACATCAGAGAATGCCCGTTTGTGCGCCCGGAGTGCCTCGACCGCTCAATCCGTTCTGCCCTTGTATCAAGCTGGAAACCCAGTCATGCAGTAGAACGACTTAGCCACGAGAGTGGCGTGCAACATTCCCGCTTACCCAAGTGGTTTCGCCTTCGTAGCGACTATATTGGCGGCGACCTTGCAAACAGAGTTCGTTTACTATCCGCCTACGACACGCTAGAGAATCAGACGAGTTGTCGACTGGAGCGTGACGGTGGCATGCAAACGACTACTGTTTGGTTGTCGATGGATAGAGTCGCGAATGCGGGCGGTGTTGGTGCCACGGCGTGGATGATGAGCTGCTTCGAAAGGTTGAGGACAGCGTCCCGACCGCGCTTGAGGATCATATCTCGGCGCAAGCGAACCAGATATGCCGTGAGAGTACCCGGACTAAAGCGAGGTCGCAGGTACGTTTGTCATTCTTGACTTCTTTTTTACTCTTTGCTCATGACCACATAGCCCAAGATCTTGTCATCCCCGCACCTGCCATCGGGCATGGAGTGCTAACGACATTCAACGCGCCGCGATGACATCTGTACGCTCACGCGTCTGTACCGCCGGTTCATGCGCTGAAGTGACTTTTAGATGGTTGTACAAGCGACGCTTCGTTGCGTCGTAGCTCATAATGAGGACGCTGTCGATCGTACCGCAAAGCTCGCTCGCAACGGCCTGACACCCTCCAAGGTTGGGGTGGGATCCGCCAGGCCCGCTTCGTCACTGGCAACAAGATACCGTGTATCTTGGAGAGCATAACATGCGTGCTCTATATGGTTACATAAAGCAGTATGTGCTTTATTCCCTACTTGGCTTCGCTATCGGCTGACTCGGCATTCTCCACAGGCTCAAATACGCAACTACCTTTATGTCGATATCATAAGCTATCACGAGCGAATGAATATCATCCCTTGTTTCCTTCACTGTCGGCGTACCCGCTAGGTCTTGAATCTAAATACAGCCCGTAATCTACATCTGTTCGCTGAAGACGCTACCGTATCGGCGATCTGCCTGCCAGGGACAGATGTACGAGCCTGTGTTGGTAGTGGGAGTACAACGGAGACCCCGCCTGCTTATGCGGGCTGTACCTGTTTCGATCCAATAGTTTGCGATTCGCATACCGTTCGGTGCCTCGTCTTATGCCTTTCTTTCAAGAGAAATACGAAGCTGGGCAAGGCTAGCCTTGGGAAGTCGCATATTGTACCAGGCTATAGCTCGATTCGAAGTACCTCAAGTACGTATGATGTGTAGCAGTAGGGTTGAGAAGACACGACGAGGACGCGAGAGAGGGGAGAGGAGCGCGGGCAGCAAGAAGTCTACAAGGCATATCAGGGTTAGGGTTGGGGTAGACG